GGCTATGGGAAATCAGCAGAAACCAGGCTCCCGGAACAGGAAGTGATGGGCAAACTCTCCTTCCTTTATTATAGCTACATTGCTACTGAATTGTGGGGTGGAGGGTTTTTTCCTTCAGTATTTACACATTTTCAAAATGGCTCAGGAATTATGTATGTAATAATCACTAATTTGCAGGGAAGAAAATATAAATTCTTTATCATAGTTAAAAACTAAAGGTTAGCATCTCAGAAAATAAAAAAACACTTTTAATTTGTAAAATAAAAAGAATTCCTCTGCCAGTAAATAAGAAACAGCTACCCTTCTCAGCCGTTGAACTTGCACTTAGCTAAGGCTAAGAAGCCTTCCAAAAGGTGTTATGAAAAACACCCCATACCAATACTTCTAGCACAGTCAGACACCAAGTTTTCTTTAACAGTATCATCCCAATCCAGGCAATAAACTAAAACTGTAAGCAGACTTGAAGTATTTAACAGTTAGAAAACCCACTTATATTCCACTGTTGCATTTCACAAGCTTGTAAAGTTTTTGAGTACTTACGACAGAAGTCGGTCGAGTTTTGGTCCATTACGTCCCTGAAGGACAACCGGCGGCTTGTATACCCTCATTATTCCTTACAATCTATACACTTTTCTCTCTTTCTGGTGTTCTCGGTCTCTTTATTTATGAAGCAGTGATGATTTTGAAGTTATTTATAAACATCAACTCATTAAATTCCCAAGTGTCATATTAGATACCAACTCAGTGACTCATATCCCTGACAATCTATTTACCATGGCTGGAAGAGAAGGTAAATTTACATGCACGAGTAGCACACACAGGCATGCCATGAACTAATCTTATATTTTAAAATAGTATTTGACATTAACTAACTCCAAAGTTATTAACAAATACGTATGTCAACTGAAGTTGGCTCATCATCAAACAATCAGTGGAATTTATAAACTCTGCTGGACGAGCACTTTGACAACATGAAAAATAACCTGTGTAACAAAAAATCCCTTCATTTCTGAGGATTGAAAATGGAAGCTGGAGTGTTTCAAAACTTGTTATTGCCATGCTTGAATGAGCAGAAGTTAAGGAAGATTACAGTTACCTCCAAGCACTCCCTGACAGGGTGAGCATACACAATGCATTAAGGTTTCTTAAAAGACCAGGTAACACAGTATGAATTCACAAAACAAAATTATTTCATTGACCACCTTATGTATAATCTTGGCCTGATAAAAACCTCAGCGTTTCAGATGGCACATCTGGTCCTCGTGGCTATACAGACTGTCATCACTGCACAGTAAACAATGCAAATATTCAAGCAACAAGCTGGGCAGCAAAATAAACAAAGTAATGTTATCACTCTAGCACTTCCACTATTCTAAATCCTTTCTAAAACAGAGAAAAATCTCTGAACCAAAATAATAGCTTTTTTTGGCAATGATCCAATTTAATTCCTCAGCTCCCAATTTCCAAGATTCTCAGGTATAAGGCATCAGTTATAAAAGTGAAAGAAAACATGAGATGAGTTGAAGAGCTCTCCTGAACATGCCCTTCTTCACCCGTCCCTCCTCTGGCAAAAGATTTCTGAGGAAATGTTTCGATTTGTGCGTAGGAACACCCTGAAGCTACAAGCTACCTAATTTAACTTTGAAATTAGTCCTGCTTTGAGCAGAGAGTTGGACTAGATGACCTCCAACAGGGTCGCTTTTCCAACTTTAATTTTTATGTAAGCTGATTTTTCTCAGGCTTAGAATAATTGCAAAAAAATGTTTTCCTGAACTCAACATGGGAGTCGGTCAAAGACTACTGAATCCAGGTAGGCTGACAGGGAGGAACACGCGACCAGCACTTAAAAAAAAAAATCAAGCTACATCTTAAACAAACCCCTCACCCCACAGGCACACATTTCACGAGGAATTTAGTTCCCAAAGCCTGCTTTCTACCGATTCATCACAAACCCCATGTTCCTTCCTACGCAGTAACATTTATTCCCTTCCCGGGCATTCCCTGGAGTCCTACTGCTCCCCACAGAATTCAGTTCTGCCCACACTGCCTCTGCCCTTTACTGAGGCTGGAAATGTCACCTGAAGATACATTAAACGCAATACATACCTAAACCTTTTCTTCCCAACTATTTACTACTCGACATTACTGTAGTAAGACATTTGTTATTACAGTCTGAAAGCTGGAAGACAAGTTCTACAGAAGAGAAGCTCTAGCTTAGAGTTAATTGAACTGTATTATATCCATCCAGTTACAGTAGTAAAGAAACTGGAGAAGCATTTGTGAAATGTTTTAAGAAAATTACATGTTCTTCTCAGGCTTAATGACACAATGGCAATAGTGTTTCCACAGACAATCTGGCTAGCAATATGAATAAACACTCATGCCAGTTTTCTGTCCTTTTCTAGGGGAAAAACAAATCAAAACCAGGACCAGACTTCAAAGAGGACATTATAATAGACGAAAACAAGTAGAGCACACTGATCAAATGAGAAAGTGAAGCTGTAAGAATGCCATCTGATAGTATGTCCTTTACACACAGACATTTCAAGAGACTTGCAGAGTTCTTAATATGGGACAGCATTTTTTTCCTAGAGAGACATCTATCTACAACGCTTTTCTGAAAGGTATTTCAGCATTATAAATTTCAATTAATAGAGCCTTCTAAAGGAACAGACAAGAAACAACAATATTAAAAGCCACTACTGTAGACCAGAAAAAATATCAAAAGATAAAAAGCTTTTTAAAAGACTATCAAAAGAAAGGACATAGACCTTTATCAGAACAGCAACTTGCACGTGAACACACAAGACAGATTTCTATTGAGCTTCTTGCTATTTGTCTTTAAAAGGCGGACTTTCAGATAAAGCAATCTCTGCTCAGATTTAAGAGCATAGTGCAGAACAGACGGACAAGTATGACCAATTTTGATGTCAAAACTTGTGTTCAACACGTATAGTTAATCAAATGTATCATTAATTTTTTCCCAGTTAGCAATCTGGTTCTGCTCACCTTTGCATAAACAAACTAAATGCAAACTATCAAAATGGAAAAAACTTCAGTGCCAATTAGACCCAACATGTTAAAATATTTTTCCAGTTACCACTGAATGCTATTAAGTGCATTTACACCACCTATCTGGACCACTTCCTATTTATTCAAGGATCCTGTTCCCTGCATCTGTACTGCATGTGACCTAAATTGCTCCCAGCATCCTTTCTCAAAGGGAACAGCTAATCTCCTGGGAGTATTTTGATGGTAAAATAATCCAGGACTGCACCACAGGCAGTGTGCTTGAGACAGCTCAAGGTCTCCTTGTTTTCACTTAACTCAGTCTGACAGCACCATCCTGGAAGAGTTTGCTCTTTGATATGCCCATATCCCAGAACCTATACCCACAGCACTCGCCCATACTGCCATGCAGCAAAAGCGGGAATATGGCAACTAGAAAGTTTGTTCCCAGAACTTGGGCACATGATTGATACGTTACGATTATTAAAAGGAACTGAAACAAACACATATGTTAAAAATGCTATGGGCCTGAAAAAATATCGCATAGGTCATGGGACAGGGTACAAGTGGCTTCACAGTGAAGGGAACAGCTTAGCTTGCAGGAGTGCCAGCTGGTCAGGGGAATATGGACTACTCCATGTGGGCAGCACATACATAAGCAGCACTGCGACGGCTGAAAGCTAAACTACTAAAGGTTCCATACATTTATACAATAAATGCAGAAAATGAGGGTTTTTTTGCTAAAGAACTAATATAGTGTAAAAGGTGAACAAGCTTTCCAACACAATATTTTGACCTAGTGCATCCACATTCAGGAAGAAAAATTGTTATTCTCCATAATGATTTAATTTTCAACTTGTAAAGGTTAAAACTACCTTTCTTGCTTGCTGCTTTGTTCCTTATAAGCATCTATCAAAATCTGAAGACACATCAGTCACTGGAAAATTAGTTTGGTTGAAAATGACAGCAGTGAAATTTTCCACAGCTTCCCACCCAAACTTCAGTTCTTTCTGGACAGGCCAGTAGCAATTGCACTGTTTGAATGGGTGGAGAGCATGAACAAGGGATGTAGCTACAACCAAATCAGGAAAGCTGCACTACTGAAAACTGCACGCACAGAATTAATCTCTTGCTTTAGGAGAGCATTTCGAAGTCCCTGACATTTAATTTCTAATCATGTAATTTCTTATCATCATAATCTAAGCGAGGAATTACTATGTTCTTGAACAGAAGAGCAGTTCACTTATAGTACAGTACCTTCTCTGGATTTCCAATTCTTCTTGTGATGGACCATTCTGTACTTGAGAGGGAAGCTGTGAATTCTGTCGAGGCAATGTAGGACCTGAAAGGAAAGACACACCATAAATTAATGATTTGAAGTTTTACTATGCAAAAAAGTACAAAATCAAGGCAAAAGGCCAGCCATCACATGACATTATAAGAACTGCTTACTTCTGCTTTTTAAGCCAAACAAGCTCAACAACATAATACAGCAAATAAAAACTGCAACGAATGTTACCTTACATATTTACAGAATGGATTTTTTTCACATGGATGAAAAGGTTTCAGAAATGCAAAATAAATTTTATGTACGATGGAATTTGACAAAAGCTTTGAAAAGCACTCCAAGTCTCTTAAAACAATGAACAAGTACTCTTGGAGGAAGAGAAAAGGCTCAGAAAATGAAAACACTCACCTAAATAGAACACTGGAAATGGGGAGGGGGGGGGAAAGGAAAAAAAAAAAGAACAGGAGAAAAAAACATCAGAAGCTTATCACCGTATTGAGAGAAGGAAGATAAAGTTTGTTTCCACAGGTCACACCAAAAGTCACGCAGATTTTAGCTCATCAACTTGACTTTCCTTTTTGGATATGTAAGTATTGCGTCCAAAGGAACGGAGGCATACAAATGTACAAACTGTGCATTCTGCTAAGCACAAGAAATGCAAGAGAGACGGATGTGCAAATTCATCTTTGACTTTTACTGATGGGCAATTCTGAATCATGTTATCTTTCAAGTAATTGCACATGCAGGATCTTTCTTCTAAAAACACACAACACGTTTTCCTCACAAATGTATTTACAGCACAAAATTATTTAAAAATAATTAACAGGTGTGAAGAATGAAGAGGTGTGGAATGGAATACAGTAGATCATGAATACATTGTTTCTGCAAAACTGGGCAGTAAATCAGGCAATTATTTAGGCTACAACTACACTCAAGATTATTGAATTTATAAGCAAGCAGAATTAAAACCAATTAAAATGCATCAAGTTCTGAAAAGATCCCAAAGGAAAACAGTAATTTCTTGCTGAGATTCCACCAAACTCGTTAGAGTGATGGAGTTGTAATGAGATCTCTCCCATCTCACATATCAAAATGTAAAATCTGTTTGCCATCTGAACTTGTGAAAGTCATCCAGGAACATGAAGGGTCCACGTGTGATATACTGAGACATCAAGGACATGCGATCTGCCTCAGACTCGGCAAACAAGTGCCCTGTTCAAAGGCTATAAAAAAAGATTTACTCAAAAGAGCACTGTATTATTTCCACTGTGATCATAAAGACAACGAATCCTGAAAATTATAAAAGCATATACTCTCTGCTGTACCCTACAGTTAAAAAGCAATGTAAGAACTTCTGGAAGATAAAAGCAGGAACTGTACAACAGAGCTTGCGTCTTCCCTATTTAGTCTTTTCAGCATGTGTTAGGTACTCATACCTAAGTACATGATGTTACTCTGGATGTATTATTTTTGCTTGGATTATCTCCAAGAGATATGCACAAATATAAATTGATATTACTTTTAATGCAAAATATTTAACTGCAACAATAATTCATAATTATCAGTAAGAAGAAACATCTGTCATGTTGCCCATCTGGAAAGCTTTTCTGCTTGAAGTCTTCCAAAGTCACACATCCTCCTCCGTTCCCTCCCTGCGTGACAGGTGGTAGGTAGGTTTTATGCCCATTAAGCCATGAGCACAGCTCCCAAGCAGCCAGGCTGTTTGCTGTCCGCACCGCACTGCAGCCTTTCATGGACTTTCAGGAGCGGACACAATCCAGGAGCAGCTGTGTCGCTGCTTAAAGGTGCTATATACCACTACTGCCTGCCTCGTCTAATACACTCGCTTCCCTTGGATCTGCTGATCAAACACACTGACCTAACAACTACTAACAAAGAACAAAAAGAAGAAATAGTCATACTGTGGCCATTTAACACCCAGAACTACTTTGTACTGAAAATACAACAGAAACAAAACCTTCAAACTTTAATTTAATTTAAATACTCATTTATGAGTATTTAACAGTCTCTTTGAATGAGGTATTATCATGCTGTAGCAGTTGAGTTTGGACTGACACCCTACAACCCTTCTGCCAGCATCCCCCAACTCTTCCTTTTGCTAGCACCACTGCAAACCAACCACCTTCACTCACGCTGCCTATTCAAACCAGCCCAGCTGTCAGAAACCCCGTTCTCAGAGCCTCAAACTTTGTTCCAGAGCACCGTCTGCCAGAAAAATCCCGTTCTCCGTAAGTTCTGCAGAACACAGCCGGCAGCAAGCCAAGCTAGCGCAACCTGGCCAAGCCACGCCAGTGAGCTGCGTGCTCCCTTTCACAGCACGACATGCCAGAGAGCCAAACCCAATCCCCTGCTAACAATTAACATGGCTGCTCTGGTATTCCTTATACATTTCTGCCATTAGGAAATGCAACCTGAGTATACCAAAGGCTTTCAAAAAAAGACAAGTTCAGCTACCAAGTTACCTGGCCTGTTCTCTGACAAATTCCTCTCTGCAAGCACAGACTCTTCATAACGAGCTGTTAACAGACACTAGCAAGTTAGAGGTACATACCAGGTGGAAAGTAGGTTTTATGCTACAAAACACAGTTTTTACAGCAAGCCAAGACCACCACTTTGTTGTTAAATACAACCATGTGGAGAGTGGGACAGATGGCATAATAAATACATAAGAGCTAGCTAATAAAAGCTCTGTCAGACGCTCTTGAACACTTCAAGATACTTCAGAAACATCAGTCCCCAGGAGAAACATTCACAGATACTGCCTGGGGAGAAAAAAAAAAAAGTCTGCTCCTTCTACAGGATCAATTTATCGTCAGAGACCGGTACAAGCCAAGTAAGAGATGAGGCTGAATGGTCAGATACTTCGGAAACATCAGTCCCCAGGAGAAATATTCACAGATACTGCCTGGGGAAAAAAAAAAAGTCTGATCCTTCTACAGGATCAATTTATCGTCAGAGACCGGTACAAGCCAAGTAAGAGATGAGGCTGAATGGTCTAGTCATTCTGAGTTTTAAGGAAAGCCTAACATCTTTCTGTTTCTGAAAAAAGCACAGATAGTACACTCCCTGGCACCCTCGGACAGACAGAGGACATAATTTCATACTAATCTGTTCAGCAGCCATTCCAGTTTAAATGCTTCCTGGTTTTCAGCTTATTCTCACTTTTGTATCACCCTTCCTCTCTGAGGGTTCAGGCAACTGTGTAATGAGAATTGGACTGAAAATCCAATGTATTAAAAGTCCCAGGGGACAAAGCCCTGCAAGAAGTGTTCTCACCCACTATATCAGGACCAGCTCCGGATCTCCATCCGGTCACACAGACAACTATGCTGGCAGAGTTCAGAAAATGCCATCAGACTGCTGGGGGCTGCCTTAGCCACATTGAGCACCCCCAACATCACCTTTTCAAATCACAGAGTTGTAGTTCATCCAGCTCAATTTCATTTTCTCCTCCCACTGACTTCTCACCTCCTTATCTCCATTCAAAGCTGAATTAATTCCAGTTGCAAAACACTGTGAAAGTATAATTAGCAAGTTGGAGATAGCAACACATGGTTTCTCCTCCCTCGATGCTCTATGGTTCATCAGTTCCTTCAATGTTTGCAATTACGTTGTCTGGTTTGGAGCTTCACGCTACGCTCCCACCTCTTTTAATGTCACCTGCCTGGCTGACACTGAGGATACTGCATTCCTATGCGAATAGCCCTAAAAACCCCTGAATATCTACTCTACGAGACCAGAACAATATATGTACAATGGTTATACAATGAGCAACTATAAGTATTTTCATTTAGCTGGATCAGGCTTGCTTGGGAACTGGTAAGAAAGGATTTGTGAAGTGTTTTTTTTGGGGGACCACTGGCAGTCAGATCATATGAAATCTTCCTCAGAACTCTGCATGGCCTAGGGTTCAAGGAAGTCAAATCATGCACAAAAAACCTCACTCCTGTAATTACTGTACTGTTCAGAGTACAGTATTACAGGACAAAATCCAGGGTCTTTTTTTCAAAAGCTAGTACATCTCAAAAAAACTTGGGTCAACTGTGACACGAGAATTTTAGTTTGAGGTCAAGATATCAGTTTTCCGCCATAGAAACAGTTTATATAAACAACTTAGTAATTAAGAATTCCCACTCTTTCAATATCTTGGTATGTTAGTGCCAAAACTAAGCAACATTCCAATTATGTAGTCTGATATTCAAATCCAAGTATGACAGACTTATCAAAGGAAGAATGGATTGAAAGCAGACAGCAAGTTAATTTATATAGGCATATGCTATAAAAATAAGCATACTGACTAATTATAATCTTTAGAAAATCTTTTCATTAAGAAGAACTTGAGTATGCGTCCTAAGCAAAAAACACAGCCCAGGCAAGAGTTTAAAACCTGAGCAAAACCACCAATTTCTGTCACAGAATAAAATAACTTGGGGGGGTGGAGGGGAATGACACCAAAACCCCAGTGTTTTTCTTAATGCTTAAACGTTTTCTGAATGAATGGAAAACAGGCTTTTTCAGAGATGTATGCTAGGAAGTAATAAGAAAAATAATTACGGTGAAGTAACCTTTTTGACTTTTCCCTAGCTCCTTGTCCTCCCTTTTCGGAGCCTGTCCTGCCCCACGACATTACAGAACGAAGCCTGGGGCGACTTGCTAACAAGCCTTCAGCAGAAGCAAAGCGGTACCACTCCTCCAGACCTGGACTTAGATTATGGGTTTTGAATCAAGAGTATGATGGTCAAAAACCAGGGCATTAACAAGTGACAAAACAGTCTTCTAGTACTTCTATTTTGGTGATTGATCTTCCAGCTAAGACTTCTCTCTCTTTCAAATATCTACTTCCTCACACACAGCCACCAATTTCCTAAGTACCTTCAACTGCGTTAATTTACTCACCACTTTGACAGTTTTAGCAGAGTGGTAACTAGTTTGCATTTTCTATTCTGAAAGAAAACGCCTTCCATTTCACTTCACAGTGTTATCTGACCATAGTAATAAAAGGGGACAAGAACACCCCCCCAAAAAAAAAAAAATCATTTAAATACATTTGAATTGGAGTAGAGACAAGGCTCCAGCAGCACCTTGGAAACAGTGCTGATAACCTGGTGCTAGGCTTGGCTCAGCACTAGGCTTGCTGGGTGACCTCCAGCTTAAGGTTTCCTTCTGTCACCCTTTTATGCAGAGGGAGACAGCAGCAGGGTACTACAGTTGCCTAACGAAACTGCAATATCACAATCAAAAAAACAAGTATCAAAAGTTAAATATATCAATACCTTCTAGGGCAGAACATTTGTTAAACTTAAAACACATTAAAATTAACGTAATTCTGTGTATGTTTGCCATGCAGCTGCCAAATTCTAATGAAATTCTTTGGGTTGCCCACCCAAGCTTTTTTAATG